GCCGTGGTGCTCCTTGCCGTGGTGCTCCTTGCCGTGGTGCTCCTTGCTGTGGGCTTTGCCCCGCTCGCGGTGGCCGTCCCTCTTGTGCCACCCCCTCTCCTTCTTTTCTGCCTTGAACCCCTTTTTCCAATGCCCAGGGAATGCCTCAGCCCCCTCGGATCCCCCCAGCTCCCGGCTCAGGCGCTCCTCCAGCTCCCTCAGCTCCTCTTTGAGCCCCTCCAGCCCCCCCCGCACCCTGCGCTCGCTGCAGGGCAGCTGCCAGCTCGTGCTGCACCGACTCCAACAGCCCTCGGTGCCGTGCCTCATGCCGGGCCCCCCCTTCATGCACTGCAGAACTGGGACCGTGAGGCTGCTCCTTGTGGGGCTGGGGGTCACTGGGAGCCCCCCCGGCCTGCAGGCGTTGCAGCTCAGCGCGTGCAGCCCGCAGTGCCTCGGCCTCACGCTGCAGCGCTGCACGGAGCTCGGCGTTCTCCTTGGCCAAACTCTGCTGCTTCTCCCCAGCTGCTGCTGCTGCATTTTCGCTTTGTTGCAGCAGCGCCTGCAGCTCCTCCTTGTGGGTCTGGGGGAGAGGTGGGGGGGTCAGGGAAGGGTGTGAGGGCAAAGGGTGGTGGCCCTGGGGGGCACAGTGCTGCGCACCCACCTGCAGCTCAGCCTGCATCAGGCGGATGTCCTGGTTCTCCTTGGCCAGGCGGTCCAGCAGCACACTCATGGACTGCATGCTGCGCACGTCCCCACCGTCCAGGGGGGGGCTTCTGTGGGGAGTCCTGGGGGCAGAAGGGGTGGGATGAGGCCCTGGGGGTGCTGAGGATACGGCAGCCCCTTTGCAGCCCCTCTCCTTACGCTGCCGTTGTCGGGCACAGCTTCCTGCTCCACGTCTGTTGCATCGTGGCTCATCGCATCGGCAGGACCTGGGGAGGAACCACACGCTGACATCGAGCACGCGGCGCCCAGCCCTGCTCACAGCCCTCCCTGCTCACCGTCTGCCGTGTCGTAGAAACCACCTGGAGAGGAGAGAAAGAGACAGCAATGGTGACCTCCACCTGCACACCCCACCCCGACCCCGGCACCCCCGACTCACCAGTGACGATCAGCAGAGCCACAGCCACCAACGCCAGCACTCCCAGCAGCAGTTTGTTGGCACTGAGCCCCTCCTCGTTGCCTTCATCTTGCAGCACACGGCGCTGGATGGGGGCAGGAGGGGGGGTCCCAGCACGGGGCTGATGGACCTGCCGTCGCCTCAGCCCCTCCACGTCGTCGTCACTGCTGGTGCAGCTCCCCTCCTCCAGCAGGGGCCCTGGGGAGGGATGAAGAGCTGTGAGGGGAGCCCACAGGCTGGATCTGCTGCTCGGTGCCCACAGGCTCGATCCGCTGACCCTCAGCACGCGCTCCGGGCTCAGCGTTGTGCTTTTCCTCCTCCCAGCTCCCCGCGGCGCTGAGCTCTGTAGGGCCGGATGGAGGGAGTTCTGTGCCGGCATCGGGATCCGAGCGTTCCTCTGCATCCTGGGAACACAAGGGTTGGGGTCTCGCATCCCCACGCCGCCCCCACCGTCCTCCCCCGGCTTACCCCGACCTCAGGATGCTGTTTTTCACCCAGGGAGGCGGCTCCATCCTCAGTGCCGTCAGCTGCGGAGGGGCAGAGGCCGGAGGTGAGCAGAAGAACCCAGCCCGGTACCGGGGATCTCAGCACTGCCCCCTCCCCACGTGCCTGTGCCGGCATCCGGGTCGCCTTCCTCCTCCCCTTCCTCTTCGTTCTCGTCATCTTGGGAGGCTGAATCCCGCTCCGGCCCCACCGTATCCACAGGCAGCCCCTGGGGATGACAGGCGGCCACTGGGACCCCCGACCCCCCCCTCGTTGCCCCCCACTCCGGCCCGACGCCCCTCACCTCAGTGCCCGTCAGCACCCAGCTGTTATCCGAGTCTCGGGAGTCCGATTTCTGCGCCATGGCTGCGGGTCCCCCCTGGGAAGAGACGGACGTGGATGGACAGATGGACGCGGGGACGGACAGCCACATAAACAGATAAAACAGACACACGGACGGCCCGACCTCACCCCGTGTCCGCTCTGGGTTGATTTGCCTGGCAAAACGAGTTGATGAACTCAGAGCAAAGGGCAACGGGTGACAGCGCCGCGATCCCCGCACCGGCTGCCTCGGGACCCCCAGGATCCCCCCCTCCCCCGGTAACAGCGGGTTCAGCCCCGGCCGCACTTTTCCCCTCCCGCTCCGGTACCGGCAGCGAGTCGGGATCGGGCACGGGGCGATGGCGGTGCCCGCGGATTCTGCACATTCCCCGCACAGCTGTGGAGGCACCGCCTCCGCCCCGACCCTCCCCGCCCTCCCCCCGGAGCAGCGCGGACCCAGCGGCGCTCAGAGCCCCGGTACCGAGAGGAGAAAAATCCCCGTGGGGCGAAAGAGGGGGACGGGGCTGGATGCGGTCGGGAGCGCGCTACGGGAAGCGCTGAAGCGCGCCCCCAGCCCCGTTATCCCCCCCCCCCCCCCCGGCCCCGCCCCCTCGCCCCCCCCCCGGTTACCACCGCGGTATTTTTAGCTTTGCTGATGCCGCCCGGCAGGTGCGCGGGGCCCCGCAGGAAGGAAGCGGCGGCACCGACACTCAGAGCAGCGCGCCGGGGGGCGAGGGGGGCACGGAGCCCCTCTTCCTTTCGGTACAGCACCTCCCCAAAACGGCCGAAGGGGGGGGGGGGGGGGGGGTCTGTGTGTGTATTGGGGGTGGGGGGTTCCGGTGAGGGTCCGGCCCGAGCGCTGCTCGGTGAAATCTCGCGGCCATCGTCGGTGATGTTCCGGGAAGCGCTTCGGAGCCAATCCCGGGGCCGGGAAGGGACGGAACGCATCGGGCCGGAGCTCGGTGGGAAGCGGCCGGGATGGGAGAGCCGAACGGGGAGCGGGGAAGCTCGGGGCGAAGCGGCCCCGACGAGACGAAGCGGAATATAGAACGGAACGATGCTGGGGCGGGCGGTACCTGGAGGCGCTCCGAGGCGCAGCCGGACGCGGTCCCGCTCCGTAACTTTCTCCCGGTCCCGGTCACCGCCCTCGGGACGGGGAGCGCACGTGATGAGCGCAGCCAATGGCAGCGACGGCCCGAAGGGGCGGGCAACGGCAGAAGTGGGGCGGAGGGAGCGGGAGGCAGCGGACGGAGACACGGACAACGGCGGTTTGAGAGTTTTATAGCGACGATACAAAAGTTTCCATTACCGTTCTGCTAAATTGGGGGGGGAGGGGAGGGGGGGGAGGAAACCGCAGCGAGCGCAGGGAGGCGGAGACCGGATCTCAAACGGGGGGAGGGGGGGAACAGCGGGCCTGGGCGTCGCACAGAGCCCACCCCGGGGGCACGGGGAAGACTGGGCCGTCGTGGAGACCCCCACAGCCCCACCCCGGTGCTGCACGGCCAGAGTCCACAGCGGTGGGGAGCATCACCAGGTGCCATCCTGCGCTCGCGGGTCCGACGGCTACAAAAGGGGGTTTGGTCCTAAAACAGCGTGGGGTTCTGTACAACGTGGGGGTCGGTGGGGCATCAGCCGTCGTTGGCAGCCACCAGCTGTCCCATGCCCTCGCGGACGTACACAGATTGGATCTCCTTGGTCTTCAGGCAGAAGTCACAGGCCCAGACGGCGGAGGCCTCGGTGGTGAGCAGCCCGTAGGCGTTCTCCGTCATCCCCGTGCACTCCCGGTGGAACCATTTCTGGCAGGAGGCCTCGCACAGGATGGCATCCTGGTCGTCGTTCACCTCGTTACGGCAAGCCCCGCACGGGTACACCAGGCCGGGGGGGGGTTGGTGCCCCGAGCCGGCAGCTGCCTTGCTGGGGGGTGGGAGGCTGTTGGCTTCAGGAGTGCCTCCCCCGCGGCCGGTGCTGGCGGGGGCGAAGCTGGGCTGCGCCCCGTTAACGGCAGCCGGGGAGCCCGAGTGCTGCTCTGGGGGGACGGTGCTGGGTGGGGGGTTCAGGTTTTTGCCCCCCTCCTCTCCGCCAGCGGGGAAGCCGGGGTCTGCCCCGGGGAAAGGGCTGGCGTTAGGGGGGAGGGGGGGGATGTTCTGCCCGGGGCGCTGCATGGGGGACTGTCCAAAGAGGTTGCTGGGCTGGCTGAAGCGCTGCGCCATGGCTGGCCCGCCGGGGGGGTTCAGGGCCGGGCCGGGGCCCATGTCCCCCCTGGGAGGCTGCCCCATGGTGGGGGACATCATGGGCCCGAAGCCCCCGACGGGCCCCTGCATGAGCTGCCCCGTGGGAGGGCTGAAGTTCTGTCCGAGGGGGGGCTGGTTGAAAGGCTGCCCGGGGAAGCTCATCCCCCCGGGCTGGACGTAGCCGGGGTTCTGGGGGGGCATGCCGAAAGCCGGACCCATCTGCCCGGGGGCGAAGGGGGGCGGCTGCCGCCGCATGGGCTGCGGGCCCCCTCCGTACCCGGGGGGGACCTGAGGCGCCATTCCCCCGCCCTGCATTCGGAAGCCGCCGAACGGTACGGGGCTGCCCAGGAAAGGAGCGGCCGCAGCCCCCACCTTGGGGGCCCCGAAGTCATCCTCGAAGGGGTTGGAGGCCACCAAATGATCCACCATAGGGGTGGGCGGCGGGGCGAACTCCGACAGGTGGGAGTATGCCGGGCCCTGCAGGGAAACGGCGCCGGTCAGGGCCGCGCTCCCGGTACCGCCCGCGGCGGGGGCGGCCCGGAGCCGGCGGTCCTCTCGCCCGCCCGTACCTGCGTGTTGGATTTCCGCCGCTTCTTCTCGGGGCTTTTCATCTGCAGACCTGCGGGGAGATGCGGAGCCGAGTCAGGTCCGGGGCCTCCGCCGGCCCGGCCCGCCCGCTCCCGCCGCCCGCGCTCACCTGCCTTCCCCTGCTTCCGGCCGGGCCCGCCGACGGCGGCGCTGCCCGCGGGGTGCGGGGGCCCCGGCGGGGGCGGCGGGGCCGGGACGCCTCCCTCCAGCTTCTCTCCGTGCGGGGCCGCCATGGCCCTCACAGCCGGCGCGGCGCCATGGCCCCGCCGCGGTTCCTTCGCACGGCGCGCCGGAAGCGGAAGTTGCGCCGGGACCGGAAGTCGCTCCGAGACAGGAAGTTCCTCCGAGACCAATCGCTGCGCGAGGGGCGGGGCGTGGGGCGAACCACGTGCGCGGCGTGGGAGGAACCACGGGCAGCGCCCGCAGGGGCGGGGGGGGGGGGAAGGAAGGAAGGAAGGAAGCGCTGGAAGGGGCGCCAGGGGATGGAAGGAGCGATGATGGCGGCTCGGAGAGAGGCGGAAGGAACCACGTGCGAAGCCCGAAGGGGTGCACGGCCGCCACCCAGCCTCAGTCCCAACACAGCAGCCGCAGCGTAAAGAAATACCAACTTTAATACGAACCGCCGGATCCTTTGGTTATAGCGGGGCCGGGGCAGGGCTGCGCTTTGGCTTCGGGGGGTCGAGGTGCATGCAGTGGGGCCCGGCCAGCTCCGGCAGAAAGAGAGGTGCCCGAGAAGGGGCTTGGCGGGGCCCGGAGGGCACGCGGGAGCTGTCAGCCCTCGCCCCCTGCCCGGCTGCATTGCATATATGTGTGGGACCTGCGGGGTCAAGGCACAGTTACACATAAAGTGATCGGGTACATTCGGTGCGCGGCCGGCCGGGCCTTGTGCTTGGGGAGCAGAGCGCAGGGCCCAGCCCTGGGTGAGCCCCCAACCCCTTCCCCCCCACCCCCGGGGCTGGTGCTGCTCACCGGACGAAGCCCGGCCACCCCCAGATCCAAGCAGGCTGGAGCAGGGCCCGGCCCCGGGCTCGTGCCCCAGCGGTGACACCGTATGGGGGCGGGATTTGGTACGAGCGGAGCAGCTGTGCGAAGGCTGGAGCTGGGAGGAGAGGAGGGGGCTTTGGCACCACCAGCCCCCGGCCCCGCAGGCAGCTCACACCACGCTGCCCGCAGCCCAGGGCCGCCGGCTTCGTGTGGTGGGGGGAGGGTGAGGCCCATCCCCAAGGCAGTCCACGCTCAGCCCCGGCTGAGTCCAAGTGCTCCCCAGGGTGGGAAGCAGGGCTGGGGGGGAGCGCACCGAGGCCCCCAGGAGCTCACAGTCTCCTCTCCACCGGCTGCTGCAGGCACATCTCGCTGCCAGCTGAGATGATGGGCAGGTGATTGTCCATATGGTAGCTGATGAGGTGACTGACGCTCTCAAAACGGTGATCTTTTGTCCGGACCTGGAGGGACAGGGAACTCAGAAGGCTGCTGATATCCCCAGGAGTTCCCTCCATGCTCTGCCAGGCCTCCTCCATCCCCTAAACCAACCCAGAGGTGTCCCCAGGGTGGGGGAGCGGTGGGGAGATGCCTGACCCCCAGGCTTTGGGGTTATGGGGACTCACCACTCCTTCGGGGTCAACGAGCAGCAGATGCTTGGGCTGCCCACCCTGCAGGCCGGTCAGCACGTACTGCCCGGGGGTGGTGGTGCTCTCCCTCACCAGGAAATCTCCGTTCACCTTCAGCAGTTTCTCAGCCTCCTTGCGGTTCATCTTCCTGTGGTACCAAGGCTCCCTCCTCAGCTGCTCCTCCATGGAAGCCACAACCTGGGCAGGGGGAACGCTCACGGGCGCAGACTGGGGGGCACGCAGGGCATCTTCGAACGGCTCTGCAGGAGAACAGAGAGGAAGGGGGTCCGTCACTCAGCCCCACGCATCCAGGACGGACTGCACAGCCTGGGAACGACCACAGCTGCTGTCCCACTCACTCATGTCGAAGAGGTCTCGCTGCGCACTGCCGTTGGCTGTCGCAGGGCTGCCTGCAGCTGCTGCTTGGCGTGTCTTGTCCACGTTCTGCACGTTCACGTAAGATGGGTCATCAAACAGATCCGTGCGGCCGGATGCTGCAGGCGGGTATTTCTCTCTTCCTGCTGCAAAGAGAGCCGTGGTCAGCAGTGCTCCGGTACCAGGGCTTGCTGCTGGAGCACTTTGGGACCAGGAAAGCACATGGGGACAGCCACATCCATCACGTTACCTTGAGAGGGACCGTGCTGCTTCCGGGGGTCAAATTCCCCACCAGACGTCTGGCCAACAGGCTGCAGAGAGGCACACGGTCAGCCCAATGGATCTTGCTGCACTCTCAGCCCTCCCCCAAATCCCCAGGCTGGGCTGCCAGAGGTGCTGGACAGAAGCGTGGCGTGGATTCTGTGCAGCCCACAGCCCTGTTGGGGTCCTTGCATCTCCCCTGCATAGCAGAACCTCCCCAGCAGCTCCCTGCAGAGACGTGCTCAGCATCTTACCAGCGTGGCCCCCAGGTGATTGGGGGTCTGCGCAGCCCCATCCCGCAGCCGCATGT